GGGACTCCAGGATCATGACCTGAGCCGAAGGCAGTCGCTTAACCAACTGAGCCACCCAGGCGCCCCGTGGTTGTAATTTTCTTAACACTTCTCTTGAAATCAGCTCCCTTTTTAAAAACCTTCTCTATTTAAAAAGGCAGCTTCTTGTTTCTCCTCTCACTGGAAAGCCAGCACCGAGAGGCTCCTGTAAAGTGAATTCAAGGGAACTAAGGGAGTATCCGAGGCTATGAACAGGTGCGGAGGCCGGAAAGGGGGCCGGGCGGGGGCTACCCAGGAGCTGAAGCCCCACTTGCCCCGTAGGGCGCTTCTCCTCCGATAGGATCACGATTGAAAGGGAGCTGAGGAAGGAGTCGCTTTCTGAGCGTCACCCGGTATCACCCAGGGGTGTCACACTCGGCAAACACCACACCTCAGAGGCCCCGGCCCGGCTGGCTCCGCGGACTGAGGGTTGAGGGGCAGCCCCGGGGAGGGGACAGCTCCGGGGCGGGGAGGGAGGACAGGAGCCCCTGGGGCAGCGGCCACACTTCCTCACCTGTCCCAGCTGCTCGCACGCCGTCTGGTACTCCGCGCGCTGACACAAGTCTTTCACGCGCTGGTATTTGGGCAGGAAGTTCTCCTCCTGAGCGTCCACCTTGTCATTGTCCCTCTTGTGGAGCAGTTTGCTGTGGGGCAGGGAGTGGGACATGCGGCTGGCTTCTGGGCTCTGCAGGAGTGTGCACCTGCTTATGAGGCGGCCCCCGCGCGGCCCGGGCGCTGTCACCATGCAGGACGCAGGTCCCGCCTGGCCACATCCTCTGTGTTAAGAGGCTTAAGAAGTGAGAATTTTAGAAGAAACCTCCCAAACTGCATGAGTTGGCAATAAATTAGGAAACATTTAAGACATTGTGTAGGCAGGAAAACATGTCTGAAGGAACATGTGGCCTCCAGACGCAAGTTCTCTATCAACCACGGGAACAGTGAGCGGGCTTCCTTTGGGTCCAGGTGGCCGTGGACACAAATCCGAGGGAGTCCCTTTTGGGAGGGACCACAGTGGCTGTCTCCCTCCTGCCCCCGCCACAGGGACAGGTGGGGCTGCCAGGAGCTTCCTGGGGTGGGAAAGTCGGGGGGGGGGCCCTCCAGCCCCTGGCACTTACCCTCTCTCCACCAGGAAGGAGTCCCGCCAGACCCTCATCTTCTTTTTCAGGTGAAACCTGGAAAAGCAGCACACTTCCATGTTCCCATCAATGTGGGGGCCTCACGCATCCCCCCCATTCTCCAAGAAGCAGGGATGGTGCCTTGGTTCACAATCAGCACAGACCCGGGGCTCCAGGGGCAGCTGGGGTGGGGGGAGTGGGCCCGGCAGCGGGCTGCGGGGAAGGCTTGGATGCTCCCACCCCTCATGGAGCAGAGCTGTGTCTTCCCCAGAGATGGGGGTCTGAAGGCCCACTGGGAGGAAGTGGCCCGGGTCAAAGGTTTTGGAGTTTTGGGGGGATTTTCTTCTTTGATCCTTTGCAGTTGGACGTGTGTAATCTGAGTGTGCATTTCATACAGTTTCACTCTACTGCTGTTTCCCGGATAGGGGCTCAGGCTGCCGGAGGAAGCCTCCATCCTGCACCCGACTCCCAGGGGCCCCGGCTCCCAAGCCAGCACGCCTCCTGCCCCACATGTGCCGTTTTACAGCCGTACAGCTCAGGAAACCTCATAGTCAAAAGGGAGGAGGCTCTGTGGAGGCTCTGTCCCTGCTTTAGGGGGACCCTCTGAGCTGCAGGAGGGACAAGCAGGAGGATGTAACCGCACTTTGGGGTGGTGAACCCGGTGGGCAGTCCCAGTGCTGGCCGCCAGATGTCGCTGCTGCCATGCCTGTCCCCCGCCAGACTCCGCTCACCCTCCCACCTGCCTAGTTTTTCACATCACCGTTCCCCTTCCTGCTTCCGGGACACCTAGAAATACGGGCCCATCACAGCAGCCGGCGTTAAAGCCTTAGAGCGCCGTGATTAGGGGTGCGGCCTCCGGCCTAGAGTCTGAATGCCCAGAGTTGGCTCCACGCTGGTGAGAGACGTCCAGCAAGTTGCTGGACCTCTCTGGGAGTCAGTTTTCACATTGGTAAGACGGGATCCTCATAATGCCTCCCCCACCGGGTTACTGTGACGATCAACATGGTAAATCCTCTGCAAAGTGCTCAGAACAAGGAAGTGCCAAATTAGCGTTCACCGCTGTTGTTGTTATTACTTTCAGTTTTGCACAGTGTTAGCCCTGAGAGGGTCCTCAACTGGTCACCTGGCTATAATCCAGGTGGGAGGGTGGAATCTCAGAGAACATCTGTCTTTCCCAGGGCAGGTAAGGAGTCGGGATCAGGGACCCTAGAGTGCCAGCTCCGGACTCTTAGAGACACACCCCCCTCTCAGACACACACGATGAGGCCATGAGTTCATGCAGTTTGGGGAGCCTGGCACCCCTTCAACCCCAGTGCCAGCCCTGCTCCCCTGCTCACCGATTCACTGGCCGTTCCGTATCCAGCAGCTTGAGGATGGACTTCCCATCCATATCCGAGGGGATGTCCAGACCGGCAATGTCCAGGATGGTGGGGGCCAGGTCGATGTTGAGGACGATGTGGGGATTCCTGAGGGAGGTGGGGAGAAATGGACTCGGCCACCCGGGCATGGTGCCCCGGCCTCGCTGGGGAGAAAGGGTGGCTGGAGGTAGGAGGTCGCCAGGGACTCACACTCAGAAGGTGGGGAAGCTGTGATCTTGTCACTCTCCTGCACCCCAGCCCTCAAGGCTCCCTTCTGCAGCCTCAGTTCCGTGGAGCCCCCCACCCTCCTCACCCCTCACCTTCTGTGCACTCCACACATACCACCGGGTACCGGGATTAACAGGCCTCTACTTGGCTGCTGCTTCTACCAGGGATGCCCTCCCTGCCTCCCACTTCCCGAACACAGGACACCCCCCCTTTAAGAGCCCCTCTCGACCCTGGACCTGCCCCCACACCTGTCTCTGAACCTCTGACGCAAACGCTGGTCCCTGGCTGTTCTTGGCCAGGCTGCTGTCTGGCCTCAGGGCCTTTGCCCTCGCTCTTCCCTCTGCTGGAATGTTCTTCCTCCAGATGCCAGAGGAGCACTCTCCCCCGCCCCAAGTTCTTTGCTCAACAATTACCAAGGATGCCCAAGGATGACAGACTCTGAGGGGCCCCATGATCCCCGCCCTCCAGTGTTCACACCTTTGTGTGATCCCCTCCCCTCAAGGGTGGGCCAAACCAACAGGGTCTGGCGAAGGTGATGAGACGTCATATGGAGGTTATGTTACGTGCTGTACAACTTCATCTTACCAGCTGGGTCTTTGTCTACTTTCTCCCCTGGTCGGCTCCGAAGAAGCGAGCCGCCCTAGATCATCACCCCCCACGAGGGTGAGTGGTGAATATTCTAGGAGGCAGGCTGTGTGACTTCAGGTCCCCTGCTTGCACCCGAACAGCCCCAGCCCTGCCGAGTCCTGCTTGCAGCCGAAGCAGAGGACCGAGCTAAGCGGGGCCCCGACTTCTGAGCTGCGGAAACCGTGAGATACCACCCGTGTGGTGTTCTCACTTGCTCAGTTTGCAATGACTTGTTATGCAGCATAGATTACTATCACAAGACCCTTCCTGAGGACCCCTCCTCCTGCCCCTGCCCTGAGGCCTCATCGCCCCCATTTACTACATATTTTAGTCATATATCTGGTTTACCGTCTGTTGCCTATTTAGAATCTAATTGGAAGGCAGACACTTTCATCTGTTTTGTTTTCACTTCCTAGCACTTTTACACCTAGAATACACAGTAGGTGCTCAATAAGTGTTAGCTTAGTGAATTTTGTTATTTATCTCCACCATACGTCTGTCACTTCTCTTGTCTCCTGTTTCTGCCTGGTGGTGTTCCCAGTGTGGTGGTAAGGGACTTGAGGGATGTGCCCAATGCAGGGGTTGGCCCCTGTTGAATGCATGATGGCCATGTAGGCATGCTCTCCACCAAGGCGGCTTGGTGTCCCCCACCCCATTCCCTGGGCTGAGGGGCAGGGCCTGGGTCCTAGGGTTTCAGTTGTCTTTGACCCCCTCCTTCTCCCCAGCCCAGCACCTTGCGAACACGAGACTGGTAGCCAGGCGTGCTGGGAGGGGTACAGGGGGTGAGGCTGCGTTGTGGAGGGGCTTGAAGGCATGACAACTTAATCTGTCAGGCGGAGGGAGCTGGAGAAGACTGCTGGGTGAGCAGGCGCCAAGTGGAATGCTGGCAACCAGCAGCTGAGCTGGCTTGAGAGCGTCCAGCAGTCCTGCTCCCCAGGACTAGGTGGGATGGACAGGATTGCTTTTCCCACCCAGCATCCACACCCTGCTTGGTGGGAACAGTGCCGTGCCTCACTCAGATTCCACCGCCCGATGGACGTGGTCTGCTCACTCAAGGTTTTCTATCACCCTGGCTACCGTGATTGGTTCAGGGATGGACACGTGACCCAAGTCAGGCTGGTGAGTATCAGCCTCAAGGCTTCTGTTCAAACCACTGTTTGGTTTCCTAAACTGGATGGCTGCAAGTCATGGTGAGTGTACCACCATGAGAGAAAAGCCTGCCTGAGAATGAAACCAATTCAGAGGAAGCTGGGCTGAGAGACGGAAAATGAGAGCTTCCTGATGTTATTGTGTGACTGTTGGATCCAGCCATGCCTGAAGCCAATTAGCCTTGGACTTCCCAGTTGCTTTAGTTCCTATATTCCTTTTACCTTTGTTTTTTTTCGGAGGGGGGAAGGGGGGCCTTACCTGGCTTCTGCTTGCAACCAAAGTCATCCTAGCCTTCAGCCCCAAGCCTGACATTAGCCCTTTCTTTCTCTTGTCCATGTGGGGTGTGGTTTTGGGTCTTATGAACCAGATCAGAGACTCTGAGGCTGACCAACCCATGATGTCAATGCCTGTAGAGTCTTTAGTGGGTCAAATTCCTTCGATTTACAGTGGTGGCTCAAGGTTTCAGAGAGGCAGGAGTAGAGGCTGCCTGGCTTAAAGCCCTGACGTACCACATGACCTCAGGCAACCTAACTTCTCTGTGCCTCAGTAAACAGGGTCATGGTAGCATCTACCCCACGGGGTTGTTGGGATGCTCACATGACTTATGTGGCTGCAAAGGGCTCAGACCCAGGCTGAAGAAAAAGCTAGATAAGCACGCCTATTATCATAGCTCTCCTTCCATGGGGACCCTGAGATCCAAGGACGGGGAGGGATTTGTTGAGATGCGCAGGCAGAGAGCGATCAGCCCAGCCTTGAACCCACACAACCCGCCTTCTGGAATTGTCACCAAGCGTTCTTTCCAGGGGATGGAAGTCAGGCCAAGTAAGAGTCTTAATAGCGATTTATCTGCATTTCAAAGAACCATTTGAGTTGGTCTCTGTAATACGCACTTGATCTGAGGAAGCCAGTGCTGTGTTCCCTTGCCTTTCCAGCCCCTCCCGGCCCCGCCGTGTGGCATTTTTTGCTGCCAGAACGTGGCAGCTCAAAGGTTAGCCCATGGCGTCCTGGAGGAAGGATGGGAGGGAGACTGTTTCCCTCTGAGCCGTGGCCTGAGCTGGCCCAGCTGACCTTGGCAGACAACCCCCCCCCCGCCCCACCGAGGCGGCAGGGTTCCTCCCCGACAGCCCACAGCCGCCCCAAGGCTCACCCGGGCCAGGCAGAAATCAAGGCGCCTTCCACGCGCTGGTGGTGGTGTGTGCACAACCCCCCTCCCCGATTCGCTGGCATGCTGCCCCACAAACAATCTGTTTTCACAGGTACTAACGGCCCCCGGACTCTCCTTCCCCAGCAGAGGGCTATAAAATGTGTCAGCACCCACCCCGGGCGACATAATCAGGGCTTCCCTGGGCACCGAGGCTCACCTGCCCAAATCACGTGCCGCCCAAGGGAGTGGCCTGGGGCCAGTGGAGCCTGGAGGCCTCCCTGGAAACGCGGGGCCCGGGGTGGGGTGGGGGGGTGCCGCACTTACAGCGAGCCAGCCTCCACGTTGGGGCCCCTCACGTAGAACGGGACCCTGATGTCAAACTCGTAGGGCATGGACTTGCCCTTCACCAGGCCGAACTGGCCGATGTGGTAGCCGTGGTCGGCCGTGTACACGATGTAGGTGTTGTCCAGCTCGCCGGTCTCAACCAGCATGTTGTAGAGCTGAAACGCGGGCGAGGCGGTGAGGGCGCAGGGCAGGGCTGCGGGCACCGTGCGCCCTCGGGCGTGTCCCTCCCCGGCTCCGGGTCTTCGCTGCGCCTCACTGCTGGGGGGACTGACGCATTTATAACTGCAGTGACTGCAGCCTCCCACCTCCCGTCGCTTCCTGCCCCCCTTCCTCGCAGCGCGTCTCCCCTTCTGTCTCTTGGGCGTGTTTGTGGATTAGAGTGGGGGGCTCCACGGGGGCGGGAGCTCTCGTCACCGTTCTCTGCTGCATTCCCGTGACACTAGCACTCTGCCAATGCTGCTGGGTGAATGAATGAATGAATAAGTGAATGAATGAGTGGATGAAGGTGGACTGTGGCCTGGGGCAGGTGTTGGTGATCTACGACAGTGCTGTCCAACAGAACCTTCCGTGGTGCTGGCGAGGTCAGTGCGAGATGGTGGCCGCCGGCCGCAGGTGACCACTGGGCACCTGCACGTGGCTAGTGTGACCCCGACACTGAGTTTTAAGCTGCATCGATTTAATTAAATTTATTTATTTTTTAAGATTTATTTGAGAGAGAGAGAGAACGAGTGGTGGGGAGGAGTGGGGGGGAAGAGGGAGAAGCAGACTCCTCACCCACTGAGCAAGGAGCCCGCCGCGGGGCTTGATCCCAGGACCCGGAGATCATGACCTGAGCCAAAGGCAGCCACTCAGGCGCCCCATGGATTTTAATTAAATTTAAATAGCCATATAGCCATGGAGTGACTGGTAGCTCAGTCGGTTAAGGGTCAGACTCTTGATCTCAGGGTCATGAGTTCAAGCCCCGTGTTGGGCTCTAGGCTGGGCGTGGAGGCTTCTTAAAAAAAAATTTAAATAGCCATGGATAAGTAAAAAATTTATATATCCATACAATGGAATACTATTCAGCCATAAAAAGAAAGATGTGCGCTACCACATGGATGAATCTGGAAAATGTGATGCTGAGTGAAAGAAGCCAGACACAAAAGACCACGTGTCGTGTGATTCCACTCCTAGGAAGCGTCCAGAAGACGCAAGTCCACAGAAACACAAAGCTGGTTAGCGGCTGCCTAAGGACAAAGGGTGAGGCAGTCCGGGGGTGATGGCTGAGGGCCGTGGGGCTCCTGTCTGGGATAATGAGCATGGTCTAAAGTTGACTGTGCTGATCACAAAGCTCTGCAATATATTAAAACCACTGGGCTCTACACTTGCGTGAATAATATAGTGTGTGGATTATATCTCAATAAAGCTGCTAAAAAATGTACCAAACGGAACAGGCCTAGCATGTAAGTGTCACGAAGGCAGAGGCTTTGTCGGGACCACTCAGGGCCATTTCCCTGGGGCTGTCACACTGCCGGCTCATTCTGCCCCCATTTCCCTTCCCCTGCAGCTGATGGCACTTGGGGACCAGGTGAGGGCGGGGAGGGCTGCGGGCGGCGGGGGCGGCCTACCGTCTCCATGGAGTCGTCCACGGACATGAGGGTCTGCAGACGCTTCCGCTGCAGCATGTTGGTGAACTCCATGTGGATGGGCTTCATGGGCCCCGTGTAGCGCATGATCCAGTGCTTGTCGGGGTTGGGCGCGTAGTTGTAGCTCGGCGTGCTGCGGGCAAACACGCGCCCAGGTCAGGCCGGGTGCGGCGCTACCCCAGCCCCCCAGGTCTCCAGCTCCCCAAATCCCCAGTCCCCTAGCCTCCCAGGTCCCTAGCCCTCCAAGTCCCCAGCTCCCCAAATCCCCAGTCCCCTAGCCTCCCAGGTCCCCAGCCCTCCAAGCCCCCAGCCCTGCAGGTCTGCAGCCCCCCAGGCCTCCAGCTCCCCAAATCCCCAGGCCCCCAGGTCCCCAGGCCTCCAGGTCCCCAAGTTACCAGTTCCCTAGCTCCCCAGGTCCCCAGGCCTCCAGGTCCCCAAGTTCCCAGTTCCCTGGCCTCCCAGGTCCCCAGGCCTCCAGGTCCCCAAGTCCCCAGGCCCCCAAGTCCCCAGCCCCCCGTGCCTCGGGGGGAGCAGCCTCCTGCACTGCTTGAGTGCCCATCTGGGGAAGCCGTGGCGGTGCATCAGGGGCTCTGCTAAACCTTATGTCAGCGTTTCTCCAGTGCATGGTGTGCACGCGGGAGGACCGGGGGTCACCCAGCCTTAAGTGACCCGGAGCCGCACAGTGAGAACATCAGTCCCTCCCAGCTCAGCTCTGCCAGCCAGCCCACAGCATCAGGCCCCAGGCTCAGTCTGGTGTGAGTCCCTTAACACCTCCCTGGAATTTGCTCTGCTCTCTTTCTTAAGAAGGGGACAGGCTCAGGTCCAGAGCCTCCAGTAGGCACAGCCCCCCACTCAAATTTCCTAGCCTTGCTTTGATTTTTCAGTTACCTCGGGCAAGGGAGGGTTATTGTGGTTAGAGCACGACTAGAGAGCTTCCTTTTGCAATAGGTTTTGGTTAAAAAAAAAAAAAAAGAAAAGGGACGTTGGCTAAAAAATCAGGTCAGTAATAGTCATGGATGCATGGCCGAAAACGTGAGGATGGTGCCCGAATGTACATTTGTCACAATTACTCTTCCCGTTTCTTCTCATCTCCCAGTTACTGAAGAGGAAACAGAGGGGACCTGCCCACAGTCTCACAGAGCAGGCAGTGCAGGCAGGGGGTGACTTCTGCCGTGGGGTCTGCTGTGATGACTCACCATACTGAACAAATCACCAGAACCTCTGATTTCTTCGGAGCTCTGACCACATTCCACGTACTGGGCGCAGCTCGGAGGGTTCACCTCCTACCATCTCATTACCACTCACCACCCTGGGAGCAAGTGCCATGTTTCCTGCCCCAGTGAACACACCGAGGCCCAGCAAGGGGACTAACTTGCCAAAGGAGAGCTGGGCTCTGAACTCTAGGAGTGGATATGGTCGCCCACTGCCACCGTAACATAATCACCTCCCTGACACGCGGGCCTGTCTGGAGACCATCCCGTCCGTACGTGTCCGGCCATCACTTTGGCCAAGACACTCCTGCTGGAGGATGGAGCAGCTGAAACACGCAGGTTAATGTGGTTCATGGTTTTGGAAGTTTCCAGGTGATTCTAGTCATCTAGTGCTCTGTCCCAAACCAGGAGCACCTCTGGTCTCCTCAGCTCACGCCAGGCCCTGGGATCTGAGCTCCAGCACACCCCACCAACGTGCGGGGTATCCTGGGTGGGGTACACCGCTGATAGGAAGCATCCTATTCACCCCACAAAATGTGACATCCCTCGTGCTGGTCTGGTTCCCCTCACATCTGACCCCCTTCCCAGTCAAAGCTGAAAATAAAGGTTGTGTTTCCACTGCCTGAAGACAAAAGGCTTCTCAAAATGGCTAGGAAGGGGGCAAGGGGTGGCGAGCAGGGAGTGAGGGCGGGCGAACAGGCCCTGCAGAGAGGGCAGAAAGCTCCCTAGCGCCTCCCCTGCCCCACCAGTACCTCTGCAGGCTCTCGGATATCAGAGTATCAGAATGTTCGGGGAGAGGTGATGATGCTGCGGCTTTGGGCGGCCTGACAGTTATGGAGACCGTTGCTAGGTAGTGTGGGGGTGAATCACAAGCCTTGAGATTCCTTCTGGACTTTGCTTTGAGTCCCTGGCTGGTCTCCCGCTGCTAAATCCAGCCCGGCCCCCCTGGCCTCCTTTGATTAAGAGCAGAGGTCTGGCTCTCCTGTGGGCCGGCTTAGGGCCTGACCCTGCATGTAGAACATTCCTAGGAACAAGCCTCCCCCCAGCCGCCCCCCCGCCCCCAGCCCCGAGGAACTGGAAGGGGACTGCTGGGGGCAGGGGCTGTGCAGACACGCCCTCAGAGCTGTTTGGTGGTATGGGAAAATTGTTCCTGGAGGCCCAAGGGGCCGGATTCCAGGATGCAATTTTGAGCAATCATCCCTGAATCTACTAGATTCTATTAGGCTGGTGTCTGCCCTCGAGAACAGTGAGGGGTGAGTTTGTCAGGAGTCTGCAGTGGAAGGATTTCCAAAAGCCCTTTCTCGGAGACCTCTTTCGGAGCAGGATCTCAGATCCGGAGTGTGCAGGGCCTGGGGACCTTCTCAGGCCAGTGCCAGCTTGCTGGTCACCTGCAGGAGGCCAGTCTCCTCCAGGGTCCCATTTTCACAAGAACCCAGCCGCTTGCGGAACAAAGAGGGGAAAGCCTCACCTCCTCAAGAATCTGAGGAATGTGTGGTGTGTTCACAACAGGGCCTGAAGGCGAGCATCCCCTCCTCTCTGCTGGGGGCAGCAGTGGGGG